GTATTTTAATTGGAAACACAGCTTGTAATATTTGGTTTTAATTCGGCTTTTATCGGGGTTTATTTTCTGTATTTTTGTATTTTGTAATTTTTTGTATTTTGTGTTTATTATTTGTTTTTAATATGCTGTGAACCGCCCTGAGTCCTATGGGAGAAGGGCGGTATACAAATTAAAATAATAAATAAAATAAATAAATAAAATGTTTTCAGAAGCTTTCCAGGAGTCGAGAAAGAGAGACCCATTCCTGGCTTAGCTTTGGGCATGAATTCAGCTGGTTGTGGTTTATTAAATAAAAATGATAATGTTTAGACCTAACTTGTATTATCTTTGTACAGAAAAAAATTATAATAACCCATGTTGGGCTGTGTCAACTGTAATCAACCCATATCAGATTAACTTGAAAATGCAGCTACAATCACAAATTACCTTCTCTTTGTCACTGGCTTCACGGGATATCAGTGAACCCTAAAAAAGACGAGAACATAAAGATTACAGTCCAGAAAACATGAGATAAGATGTGTATTTTTTGAGCGTCTTTCAAATTAAAGTGTTCATATAACTCAAAATTATTCGGAAGTGGGAGGGAAGATGGGTTCATACATCAGAAATTTTAAAATCCCAATGGAAGGGCTAAGCGTTAGTTAAACTTCCAAAGGACTGCTATAGCGTGTCATATATTTATGAAATAAAATCATTGTAACCATGGTCAATTAAAAAGTAAATATAAAGATTTCCCCCAGTTGTGTGTCCAACTCTTAAGGAGCGGTGCTCATCTCCGTTTCTTAGCCGAGGGAGCAAGCATAGTCCAAAGACATTTTCATGGTCACATGGCTAGCATGATTATATGCCAAGGTGCATGAATTAAAAAAAAGTAAAACCACAAATCGATGCATGATAATACTTATCATTTTAGATGGCAAGGAAATTGGTAAGGAAATCTCTCACCTTTCTATAACATCTTGTACCTGTATCTTCCATTTATCTCATCCCAATGCTTCAATGCTATTGGCTGTAATTTCCTGACTGGATGGTTTGAAGGAGGAGGGAAAGAATCTCTTTCAAAACCTTTATGGTGCTTTGCATGGTGGTTTTATATTCTGCCTGCAGGGTATGTGTATATGGGTGTGTTCCCTCCCTTCCCCCTCCAATATTTGAAACAATTCCTTCAAGTCATCGAGTGCTTCCTAACATTTAATGGGCCCATTACAGAGGCCCCACAGTTGACCAGTCATTTCTTGGCACCCAGCAAAATATGCATAGAGATTTTAGCACCATTTTCGACAATAGCCCTATCATGAATTCATAGCAAGACTGTCCTTAGCAGGAAAGACAATGTAAAAGTAATATTGAATGAGCAAAAGTTTTCAACCATTTCCTAACACACTGGTTTACATTTATTTTGGTATATCAGCAGATCTGAAATGGAAGGATTGCAGCATAAAAACCAATGGCACAGTGTAACACTTTCACTACACAGATTAATCACATCCTTTATTCATTCAGAACATACAGTATGTATGGCAGGCATTTTTTTACTTAATAATAATAATAATAATAATAGTAGTAGTAGTAGTAGTAGTAAAGTTGGAAGGGACCTTGAAGGTCATCTAGTCCAACCCCCTGCTCAAGCAGGAAACCCAATACCATTTCAGACAAATGGCTGTCCAGTCTCTTCTTAAAAACTTCCAGTGTTGGAGCATTCACCGCTTCTGGAGGCAGGTTGTTCCACTGGTTAATTGTTCTAACTGTCAGGAAGTTTCTCCTTAGTTCTAGGTTGCTTCTCTCCTTGATTAGTTTCCATCCGCTGCTTCTTGTCCTGCCTTCAGGCGCCTTGGAAAATAGCCTGATTCCCTCTTCTTTGTGGCAACCCCTGAGATATTGGAACACTGCTATCATGTCCCCCCTCGTCCTTCTCTTCGTTAAACTAGACATACCCAATTCCAGCAACCGTTCCTTATATGTTTTAGCCTCCAGTCCCCTAATCATCTTTGTTGCTCTTCTCTGTACTCTTTCTAGAGTCTCAACATCTTTTTTACATCGCGGTGACCAAAACTGGATGCAGTATT